CTCTCAGTAAAATTAAAAGTGCTCGTAAATTAACTAATAGCAAGATTGCCCTGACAGCTGATGCCTGGACCAGTGTTGCCACAGAGGCATATCTTGGCATCACTTGTCACTTTATAAATGATGAGTGGGAGCTCACGAGCTTCTACCTTACCACCATGCCGCTGGAAGAACGACACACTGGGCCCAACATTGCTAAATGGATTGAGGAGGCTTTAGCAAGATTTGAGATCCCTGCTAGCAAGGTTGTGGCAATTGTCCATGACAATGGTTCTAATATTGTCCTGGCAGCAAACATTTTACTAGAAAAGCATGGATGGATGTCAATCTGCTGCGCAGGACACACCTTGCAGTTGGTGATCAATCATGCCCTGAAACAAACTCAGATTACAAAAACACTAGGAGCAGCTAGGTGTCTCGTGGAGCACTTCAAAAGAAGTGAACTGGCATCGAGCAAACTGAAAACCAAACAGCAACAGATGGGGACCCCGGAGCATAAACTTATCCAAAATGTCTCGACTAGATGGAATAGCACCTTTTACATGGTGACTCGTCTGCTGGAGCAGAGATGGCCACTGACTGCAACACTGTCTGACCCAACAGTAACACAGAGTGGGAAACAATACCTCGACATGAAACCAGATCAGTGGGTCCTGCTAGAGGAACTGGCTAAAGCTCTTCAGGCCTTTGACTGCGCCACCGTCTTCCTGAGTGGTGAGAGTTATGTGACAGTATCTGCCCTGCCTCCATTGGTCAGAGGGCTTTTAAAGTCCACTCAGGTCAGCTATGACACAGCTCCTGTGCAGGCTTTTCAGGCAATTGCTTCAGAGGAGACCAATGCACGCTGGTCTAAAGAAGTCACAGTCACAGGTGATAATCCAAGCAGACAGATCATTGCAGCTGCATTAGACCCACAGTTTAGGAAACTGAAATTCCTCACACCTGAGGAAAGGTTTAGTGTTCAAAATAAAGTTCAAGCTTTGGCACTTCAGTCCATGCAGGGCAGTCTGAGGAAACATCATGCCAGTGAGAAAAACGCAGCCAATTTCCTCACCTGAGAGAACTGTTTCAGCTATTGATTCACTGCTTGGGTTTGACTCCTCAACAGACAGCGACAGTGAGAATAAAGAACAGGAATCATACAACTAAGCCATCACAAATGAGGTAACATGTATTGAATAAGAATAGTGCTTATTTATTAACATATGAAATAAATTATGAAACGCCAGACTCATTTAAAAGGCTAATTTTCAACTGTTGTCCCATGGCAGGTGTTGATGTACTTTGGAGAGCAGCCTCTCCCAAAGTCAGACAGTCCCCTTACTTGGTGGAAGTTAAATGAGGCAAAATATCCATCACTTGCATCACTAGCCAAGTCATTCTTGTGCATTCCAGCTACTTCTACACCCTCTGAGCGTCTCTTCTCAGCAGCTGGAAACATCGCCTCAAAGAAGAGAGCCAGCCTCACACCTGAACATGTTGACATGCTCACGTTCCTGCACTGCAATTTAAAGAAATTATAATCTATTGTTCAGTCACTTGGGCTGGAAGGTTGATTCGTTACATTAAGTTTATTTGTACTTTTGTACTTTGGATGGGCTATTTGCTTTATTTACTTTGATGGACATACCAGTCACTTTAAAGAAAGCCATCCTTTAGTTATTTATAACCTGCAAGGCAGGTGAAATGCTACTATTTTGAGTTATTTATTTATACATCAAAGACTACTTGCACTTTTGTTTGCACAGAAGTTTGTATTATTTAGTTTATTTCCTTTTCATTGTGATCCAAAAAATATACTTGTGCCAAACTCATGTTTCATGTGCCATTATTCTAATTTGCTTTTGCTGGTTGAAATTCACAGGTGTGCATGCTTAAGCAGGCGAGGTAAAACGGGGATCAAAAATAGTATGCCAAATAATCATGATTAATCGACTAATCGAAAAAATAATCAATAGATTAGTCAACATAAAAAATAATCGTTAGTTGCAGCCCTATTAGGAACTTGCAGATCTGCTTGGCTGTAGCCAGGTCAATAGCATTAAAATGGACTATGTGGTCATCTGCACCCCACAAATGAGGTGCTGAAAACATAATGTTAGGTATCCCACTGGGCACAGTAGGGTTCCTAGATGGTCGGATGCGATGTGTGTTCCAGACATTTCGTATCTCATTTAACTCCTCCAGAAAAAATGCAGAGAGATGCAGGTTAAACATTACTCTTAAAGAGAGAGAGCGATAGAGAGAAAGAAAGACACAGACAGAGAGCGAGAGAGACAGTGGAGAACTAAACAGTATTTCACGTTAAATATACATTTTACATATGCGTACACATTACATGGATTACAGGTCAAAGTTTATTCTCAAGTTATATTTTCTAAACAAATTCCCCTTGCTTGCAACTGCACAGGTGAGTATTTCAAGGTATAAGGGTATATAAGGGTATATGTAGCACACTTCAATGAACCACAGTGCGCTTGGAGTTGTATGTTGTTTTACTTTTTTCTGCAAACATAAACATATAGCAGCATTGTAAATCATACGCTCCTCTCTGACCTTCATCAGAACAACACAATGATTGACCTGCGCTGACCAAGAGCCACATACTCCCTCTTGTGGTGAAACTTTGGAATTACAATGCCTAAATCTTTTCCTTTACATTAGTTGTAAATAATAAATAAACAAATATGTGAGGGAGGGGGGGTCCTTTTATGCCTCTGTCCCACATATACATTTGGTTAACAAATATTGGAATTAATTAATGAATTTAACGTAATGCTAAAGGCAAAGATACATACAGATATACACATGTGTAAGGACCCAGTTCTCTTGCAATCAGATAGATAGGTGGATCTACTTTACATATCCTATGTAATATTCTTCTTCCTTTAAATGATACAGGAAGTGAATGAATGGGATTCCAACTAAACAAAACAAACAAACAATAAAAGACAGGCTAGGATTAATACAGTAGGCTACATCAATCAATCAATACTTACTTCCTGCAAGTCCGAAAATTGTTGACGACAAAGTCTGTATTCTCCAAGGATTCTGATAAGATGCCTCTGGCTTAAAATGAAACCATATAAGGCTATGCTTCTAAGTATTTCTTTATGACGCATACCTAAATTGAAGAAAAAAAAGATGAGACTGTCTCGATCCATTACAATAGGCCTGCATTCACTGCTACTGCTTTTCTGTACTATCTGCAAGATAGTAAAGGAAGGAAAATTCCTCTTTACTCCTTAAAATTCCTCACTTATTACAATTCGCACGTGCAAGATAAAAAAAAACAAAAAAACATCCATGTCACCTCCAAGGCTCCGTACAGTAGGTTTCAAAAACAAGATTTTATTATTTGAAGATACAGTGTGCCCTTCTTATACCAGTCTCATTAAAAATACATGTTTTCTTCATTTTCAACAGTTGTAGCTGCTAACAGCAAACTTAGATGGCTGACGGTAGAATTAGATTAGCTAATGTGAGCTAGCCAGCAGAAGAAAATGTTGGACTGATTTTGAGTTTATGGAAGTGTATTGCATTCACGTGGGAAAATAAAAAATCTGCTCTACGTTTTTCGGAATTAGATATAACTATCTCAGAATTATGAGTCATGCTGGCTACACACAAGACCATTTTTCAACTCTAAACTGGGACCACAGAGATAAGGAAAAAAATGGATCATCAAAATATGTAATGCCATTGAGACACAAGTCTCAAGATCTTTCATGGATGAAAATGAGAAAGGGACACCTATCAGCTTGGCAGTGAAGTCTGAATCCATTTCACTATTTGCCCATGCTTTGTGGATTCCATGCTTTCTTTTTCTCTCATTTGCACAGGTTTAGCAAAAGCAGTGAAATCCTTCTGTGGTTCTGGCCCTAATTAAGAACAATGTATGGCTTATTCTCTACTGTTGATGCACGGGGGCAGCCATCTTGGATTTTGAGCTTGGGATACTGAAGTTCCTCTGAGTTTCAGATGACGTATCTTTAACCACATACTAACATACTGCCTACTAACCACACCGTTAGTATGCCGTCAGCAACATACTACACACCGGGTCATGCAGCATATTTCAGGTCTGAGCTATGTTGGAAAAGCTAGCATTAAGCTAACGCCAACATCAGCCTTGAAAATAGAATTCAACAACTATATACATTCATTTGTTGATTATACAGCTACATAGTGATTTTAGTATTATCTGACAACATATAAAACAGTGTTACCTTTATTTGTATGCTGCCTATACTCCACTCTGCCTCCTGCCAGCCACGCCCACCTCATCAGCCAACTCAACTCACCTGTGCACACAGCTGCTTCCCATCTGCAATCAAGTCAGTATAAAAGCCTCTTCTGACACTGCCAGAAGACTTTCCAGCACTTTCCCTTGGACTACCCGTTGCAGACCCTGTTTGACTCTTACCAGCCAGCCTTGTTTTTGTCACTCAGACCCCGACCACGAGTTCTGTTGGCCTCTCCCCTGGGCTGTTTGGCTTTCCTCACATCAGCTCCTACAGTGTGAGTTTTACCGTCTAGCTCTGATCTGATTTCTGTTGTTCAAAAACTCGCTGTCCGACACTGTGTGGATCTCTGGATTGTATCCGCTGGCTCTGCAACTTGCCTTCCACTTTTCCCGACTTAGTTCAGGAGCTTTAACAGCTCTTGCAGATGTACCTGCTGAATTTATCCCTAAAAAACATTATCATTGTGGCTTCCTGTGTGCTGCACATGGATTCCAACACCACCCATGACAGTTACTTTTAAGTGTGTAATTGACTATGAATCAATAAGCAGAGTGTTTTGCCAGGGGTAAGAAATATGAGACGGCTTTCTGACTCGCCAAATATGAATTAGATTACATGGATCTGTTGTGTTTACTGGGGAAGTGATCAATCTTTTATCAAATAAAAACCCTTACAGGGTGCAAATGATTGTTGGCTCAGGTAAACCATCAAGTAAACAGAGACTGACAGAAATATTTAAAGTTTAATAAAATGTATTGATTCTCATTAAACAATCCACAAGCTTTTGCCGGTAATGACCTTCACTCTTCAATCTGCATGGAAAGAAAATGGTGATTAATTGACTCAAAGAAAACACAGTATACACGATTATCAATTCATTGTCTGAGTCAGGCCGTTAATATTGCTACACACAGAGCTCAAACTGTACTGTTCTGATAGGCTGCTTACTCTGTTTCCTGCTCTGACATCACTCTTGCACACAACGACCGAACACACACAGGTCTCTGTTCCCTCACTCACTCCACAACACCTCCACTACGCAGGTTACATATATTTGTATTTGCTATGCCTATAGACCTCCACGAGTTTGTGGCTTCTGCATTCTTAATCCGTGCATTGGTTAGGGACAGATACAGTGTACATAGACAAAGTGAAAACAGCCATCCAAAGCAAGTATCATAGTGTATGTAGCTGATGCTAATTTGCTAGATCCATCCCTAGAAGGGCTTTGATGTGAATAAAAGAAAACAGTTCAGTTAAAAAGGGAAAAGAAGGGGTTTTAATTGTTACCTGTAGCACAGGGGTGCGCATACTCAAATTCAGCGCTGTAACCTAAAAGGAAAAATAAGCATGACAAAGTTTGAACAGATACAGTTGACGCTCCAACAGCAAATGTGTTTCATGTAGAAGACTTGATGTTGGACTTAAATCCGATCATATACTATAAAAAAATGAAACTCTGTTGTGTACAGTGTGTACCACAGCGCCCTAATGAACACAGTGACACCTGATCAGAGGCAGTATGATTCATGCTAGAATACATCAAAAGAATGGTGTTATATGTTAATTTCTATGAATGGAGACATTCTTCCTGGTTAGTTATTACATCATGCACCATATTAATACAACTCCTGCATTATGTGATGACCATCGCAATTTGTAATCGATTACAAAATGGGACAGACGATTACAAAATGTAATGTTACAAGAATTCATATTTAAAGGCAGTTTCATCTATTCACACTGAGTGAAATCTGTCATCAAAGCTTATCATAGTTATTGACAGAAAGTATCCCTGTCATTGTTTTTTTCCCCCAGCCCCACCTGAATGGACAGCGGGACTCAGTGTGTGAGACTCACTTGGCTGGTAGTAGTCGTAGATCTTCACCAAAGCTGGCTTCAGGTTCCACACTGGAAGCTTACATTGGAGAATTAGAAAGTGGCGCGTGATTTTACTCTTACGTAACTGTAGGAAGAAAAACAGATCAGTAACACATCTGGATCGGTGAGCATCTAGTCACGTTCCTCTGTGTGTTGTATCTTACCTCCCGTATATAAACAAGAATACGATCTCCAGTATATTCAAGACGTTCCACCACCTTAGAGTCTCTGATCTGTGAGGAGACGACATTTTACACTAACGGGACACTCGGGAGGGAATTACCAGTTATCTACAGCCTAGACAACATCCTGTATTCTGATCTTTTTTTCCTAACTGCCCCTTTTTTCTGAACCACTTTACAACTAGGATCTAGTCATGTCTCTTTTTGAAGTCTCCTTTAGTGCTTATCTGGCACATTTTCACATCAATGATGAATGCATTTATTTGAATACTTTTACAAACACGTGGACTTTAAGGCTGTTCTGTTCCTGCACCCTGCTGAATATGACACTCTTCATAAATACGACGTGGTTAAATCAGTTTCACTTGCATTTCGGTTAACAGCCTCCTGTAGGTAGTCTGTTTTTTAATGAGGTAGAAAAATCAAATTGAGAGTGCAGAATAATATCGGCTGAACAAAATGATTAAAGCCACTGCATTAGAAGGTTCATATGTGAATCCACATAACGGAGGAATTTAGTTTGATGTTCTTTGGCGTCACAGAAAGTCTCTGTGTGCAACTGGAAGTATATACAGTACAGTACACAAACAGATGGCATATATACTTGGAGGGTAATAAATGTAGGCTACTATGCAACAGGCCTAGATATAGCCGGTCAAGAAAATGTTCCATGAATATTCAAGACTTCTGGGCTCCACTTTTCAGGGTCAGAAACACTCCTGATGATTATTGTATCTACTGTTTAGCTTTGACGAATTTGCAAACTACTCACTTCTCTAAAGCAACACCACCTCCAAAAATATACTAATGATATTTTGGCTGCCGAAACCCAATTTGGTTTCAACTAATAGCTGAATTCATACTGCTAAATATGCAGTCGAGAAAGTAAAAAGTGATGTCAGGGCGTCCTTGATAAACGCAGTAGAGCATTAAGTAAACATTCAAGCTTCCGACTCAAAGGAGGAAGTCAGAGGGGATGGCCTCTGTGAGTTTATGGTAATGGCTAGTATCACCATCATACTAACATCAATAGCTGACAGAAAAGTTCAGGTTAAAGTTGCTGTAATTACTCACCATCCTTAAAGACTCGGCATCTGGGGTAAATCCAGAGAGTAGTTTGATTTCCATTATCATCATGTTTGTCATGATATCGCTTCCATAATGTCTGCAATTAACTCAAAGTTAGTTTCTCCAAAATCTACAGCCAGGGAGGACACTTTCACTGTAAGTGCAGTGCAGTTGTTGTTGATTACTTACACAGACTTCAGCGTCAGACTGAGGCTGCGAGATGTGCTCGTGCAGTCAGCATGTGGTTCAGCCGCCACACTGAGAAAAGAGGCTGGTGGAGGAGGCGGGATGTTGTACTGAAGAGAAATCTAGAAAAAAAAAAAAAGTTTGATGATTTTAATGTTAATCTTTTTGATGTGT